ATAATAGCTCTGTGCCACTCTGGTGGTGTGAAAGCAACACATAATCGGAGTGAAGGGATAAAATATTACTAATGAGAGAGGTCTTATGTCCTGTAAAATGTCAGTACGGAAATAGTAACAGGCAAACAACCTTCCACAGCTTGGCCACAAATTGTGCACAAAGTTTGGAGAGTGAAGATTTTAGAGAGGAGCTTCCAAATGGGAAGTTTTATTATGGTGATTTCACTTATGGGGTGACAGAGCTGGTGCAGAAAGAGGAGCAGATACCTGAGAAATGATGGTGAAAGTTCTGGGTTTTGAGATCCTGTTGAATGCTCACAGCCTGCTGGGCTTCAGCTGCATTCTGCAGCTGTGGGACTTGCTCCAACCACCACTCTGTGCATGTATGAATGCATTAAACCAGGAGAGAGCAAAACCCTGTGGTTTATCTCTTCTTGCATATTCAGACAGGAACTCTGAGCCTCAGTGGCTATTTCCTGGGTTTGGCAGTTTGCTTTTTTGATGCATAATCTTTCCTCCTGCATTTGAGATCAAATAGGACAGACTAATCCCAAGATTAAGGCAAATCAGATGAAGAGCTGTTTTCCATAGCAGATGCTGTCATATGAGTTCTGAGTTCCTCTTGTGCTAGAGCAAGGCTATAGAGCAATGCAGATGGTGGGGCAAATCCTCTTTAGGATCCTAGTTCTTTTTTCCCCTGCAGAAAACAAGCTATGCCAAGCATCCAATTAAGGAGACTGAACTGGTTGAAATTCTGACCTAGGCTTTCATTTGCATCTCTCCTGAATAATGATCTGCAGTAAGGTTTGCATTAGTTCATGTTTGACTTGTTGAGCAGCAGTTTGCTTAGTCCTGGAGGCAGCTGCAGGAGGGGACTGTGCTGACTGCCCCAAGGACAGCACTGCGTAGCTGCACACCTGCAACTGTGCTGAAAAAATGTAAAAAATACCCTCAAAAATTACTTAAGCAGGTCTAATGAGTAAGTCCTTTGACAGAAATTGATACTACCGAGACTGTTCTGCAAAATCACAGCAGTTTATTTCAGTATCATCTTGGGATGAGGCTTTCTACTAAACAGAGAAAACAAGGTTATCTGTGAGGTGTAGCTGTTTTTTCAATATTTAGATTGGAGATCTTAATATCCTTCTGACACAAAATATAGTTACAGTTCCTATGACAACTATTCCTCTCTGCTCTGGAGCATGGGCTAACGATAACATTTCATTACATGGTCATGTAACACTGGGCACAGTGACAGCCTTGTCATCTCCACTCTGCTGTTTGCTCCTAAATGGCATTTAGCTGAAGCCCACATGTATTGTGCAGAACATGAATTGTTGTGACTGACCTTCACTGTGCTTATTGCCTGCCACCTCTGACTTCCCAGCTTCGTGCTTTTCATTAGCAGGCTCACTTCCTACCCAAATGTATCTGGTATGCTGCATTTTATGGACAAAAATTTCTAGAAATTTATTTCGGTGGTAGAAATTCTATACACTGACGTTAATTAAGAATAGCCTCTTAACAAGTACACAGAGTACTGATCTGCTGACAGAAATTTGTGAGTATAGCAGCCAAACCAGACTATGCAGCAGATTCCTGAAGTCACTTCTGCAAAGAAAAGAAGACTTAAGAAAAACTATAACAAGTTGAACAGATATATTAAAAGACTTTATTCACAATAGAGAAATTTTTACAAATATAAGTTCTTAAAAATTAAGCATCTTGATCTATTATGTATTCTATAATTTCAGTTTATATAAAGATGAAAAGACTACATGGAATATGTACAAATCAAAACCAATTTAAATACATGATAGAAATGGATATGTATGATGAAGTCACCATAGAAACAATGAGCCATTGGGCATTGCAGAAATCTGTGTACAACCAACATGTATGCAATACTTATCTCACAATCAGAAATTATCACTTTTCCCCTCTGAAACAATGTGAGTGCCCTTTAAAGTGATTTACCTCTTAGGACTTAACATATGCAGATAAGCATTATTATGCCACAAAAAAATGGAAAAAGTAGGGGCAGTGTGTTTATGCAAAGATAATATGTCCCTGTCATCCCTATCTGTGTGTCTCCCCTTCACCCCCCAGTAATACAGCAATTTCTTTTGCTCCTAGGAATGGCAGGCAACACAAAGTGACCATCACTAGCCACTTTCATGCAGCTAGTTAAGTGAATTGGAAATAAAATGGATGCCATCTCAGCAATCTAACAAGCAGTGGTAAGTATGGACTGTTTTGAAATGATTGCTCTAACTTTGGTGTTTTGGGGTTATTTAAAAAAAAAGTAAAATCAATATATTCTCAGTTTATGAGAAGTTGCTTTTTCTTACAGTTGGCAGATCTACACATTGTACAATCTTCTCGTCTACTTACATTAGTTTACAAAAAGTACAGTATAGTGCAGTTGGTACATACAACCTGAATATCAATACCAGTCACATCCAACTTGTGCTCTTTCAAATCATCCTAACTCCCACACTAGAACAACAAAAAAAAAATTAATGTGAAATGTCTCTATTACAAGGAAACAGTCATGATGCTTATATTTAAGTACATAAGACCCAATGCATACAGAGTTGTGTGTTTGTAGCCTGTATTTGGAAATGTGGAGAAGAGCTATCTGGTTCTCTACTGTTTCCCTGCAGCTCATTAAACACCAGCAAGATGACTAGAAATACCTGGGGGAAGCAACTGTGGTTAAGAAAACCGTGTAGAAATAAGCTTACCAAACACACTTCTCAAAGACTGTTTGTGTCTGAGCTGTTGTAGTTATTTCAGAGGCCTAGAGCAGCACATGCATGTGGTAGGCAGCAGCAGGTGACCCAATAAAGCTAACTCAGGAGAAAAGTAATTATTACTACTTTTCTGGTTAAAAGGGAAGAGAATTTTGTTTTTATTCTACAGCTATAATTTCTTTGTGGCACTTGGTGGAGGGAAAAGCTCCATTATAAATACTGTTTCTGAAGAAATACAATTAAATATAGTCTTGCAACAGTACAAACTCTGGAGTATCAAAACTAGCAGAATTACTGCTTTTCAACAGAGGAGAGCCAAGATTTAATCCTTCCTTGTTTGGTTTCAGAAAACTACTGTACACATTAGAGAATTCCTACTTTAAAAAACAAAACAATAATTTAAAAAAAGCAGTAAAGCAAAAGGTTTTGAGCCAGAGTGCTGGCTCCACGTAAGCAGGCTTTACCTTCAGGTGCACACCCATTTCTATCCACTCTCCTGGGTGGCCCAGGCTCACCAGGGTACCCTTGTTAACTCCCCTGTATGAATGCTCAGCTTTGCCAGGCCTGTGATGGAAGGATCAGCACCACAGAGCCTTGCCTTGCCCCCTATATAAACACCTTTGGCAGCTCATGTGGCACGTGCCATCTTCTTTGCCTGCAGGGGAAGCAGGGGCAGGGCTGTCTTTACAGCCTCCAGAAGGTAAAGGCTGTGGGTCAGCTTCCAGCTGCTATATATAAAAATGTAATTAGCTACTTTTGCTCTTGGCTTCTACCTAGGAAAACCTCCATTGCAGACCTCTGTCAGCATAGAAAAAGTGTAATCTGTAATGCCTAAACAAATGTGCTCCCTCAGCTGTGACTGGCAGTGCTGGACATGTGAGCTATCTTACTACCATTACAGAAGATGACAGTTCAGAGCCATCTTTGCTTTGCTGCAGTCCAGTCAGTGAATAATGTGCTTTCTCAGGATGGGAAGCCAAGTGTTTCCTACCTGATATGTATGAAAGTGATCCTGTCACTAAATGAAAACATAGGTAGACTTAAAAATCATGTAAACCACTCCAAACCAGACTGAGTAGAAAGAGGAATTAATTAAGCCTCATTTCTTTGTCCCTTTGGTGATGTCACAAAGTAAAACATTTTTGGCAAAGCTGTTACCTTTCTTAGTAAGCCAGACTTCTACTCTAGAGAACACTTTTAAGCACATGGCATTTCTGTTACTTAAGACAAGACAGTGCTTTCAGAACGTTTTAGTTCTATGCAGGATAATTTCCCCTCTGATTGCCTTGAATTCTTTTAAGGAGACAAGTTTTCTTTAGGGCATCCAAACATCTACTTTTATTCATACAGATACATTAAATTACTTTGTGACAATTAACTGTCAAGTCTGGTGTCAAGTCTGAACCTATCCAAATGTTTGCAAAAGTCCCAGAAAAACAAACAAATTGTCTCCAGTGTAATTCTCAGCTTCCAGGAAAATGTCATTAAGTATTTTTTTGCCTTTTTGCCATCCAACCAAATGAAAGCTACAGGACTAAATATATAAAGAAGGTTAAGACTCCCTTTCTTAATAAGAAATTACTACCTTATTTTACTCCATAGTAGCTTGTCCAAAGACTTAAGAATAACACCACTTAGAAAAGGGAGGAAACAATTTATTCTATTACAATATTCTAATCAAAACCTGAAAAACTAAGGTTTGCTAACTAATGTGCTAAATTCATAGAAACTAGTTTAGTCTAACTTCAACATATACTGCAGTTTCAGAGTTGTGTCTGCATGAGATGAAAATACCCCTATGTAGACTTCATTGACAAAGAAATACATCAGATACTTTACCCAGTAATGATAGACCCGCATAAGAAGAGGTTGTCACAGTTACAAGATTTGTCCTGGATGACACAAAACAAATCAACATAGAACAACAAAAAAAAAAAAAGGAAAAAGCTTTTTATACTTAATTCATTATGGCTTTTTGCAACATGGCAAAATATTACAGCTTAAAGCAGACATCTCCTCACAGAGGAGAAAAGAATTTTGCAGTCAAATTAAAAGCGTAACAGGAAACAAGTAACATGCACACCCTCTGCTCTTTTTGGCCAAGATGACACTGAAGCCTAACAGAATCTGGGGAGATTTGTCATTTCAGTTATTCATCTGGATTAGAGGACTGAGGTTTTATCAGAATTGATTTGGGCCCATTCATAAATATTTACTGTTAAAGAAAGCAAGACTGCAAAACACTTGATTTAAAAATTTAACTCAGGAATTTAAAACCAAATCATGTGCCCAAGTCCTGGAAAGAAACATAAGGAATGAAAACAAAGTATAACTTAATCTTCATTTATTTCTGGTTTTCTTCTTTCTTCCCATCATCTCTGTGAAGAACAGGGAGAGGATGAGCCTCTGTGTTGAAGACCCAGTGTTCAAATGGAAGAAGATCATCCTCAGAAAACAGCAAATACAGGTACCTGGCAAGAGAAAAAAGCAGGAAATGCAACCACATCAGGCAAGTGAAACTACAATAGCTTTCAGGAAAACACATAATAATTTATATTTCATTTACTGGGTTATTAAACATCCTGTTGAAATGGCATGACTGTTTTTTTCTGGTCTTTGCAACCTTTTCTTGCACAGCAGAAAAAAACAAAGAAGTGAAGAGATCAAGACAAAACATCCTTTATCTCATTAAAAACTTAGGAGATGGTGATAGATAACAAAAGCTTTTGGTTTTCCCTCTTAACAGGCCCTACAAGCTTTCCACAGAAGTTGACTTATTTTTCTTTTTCTATAGTTTTATAATGAAAAGTATGCAATATAAGCCTGATAAGTTCTCTGTCTAGGCAATTTGTTTCGTTAGTTGGCATATATAATTGGATACTATCAGAGATAGGAGATGCAATTTCTCAACAAAGACTATTAAGTACCTTTATCAGAAGTAAAGATAATTTCCAGAAGTCAGGGAATTTAGTTTATTGATTTTTTTGGGGGGGGGGAATAAAAAAGGCAATTTGGCTTTCTGTCACTTAAGCAAAGCTCTGCTATTTCACTCAGATTTTGTTATGTGAATGTCAAGGGTACTAATGATAAATACTTCTGTGTAAAGATGACACATAGAACTACTTCACATTAATGAAAGACAACTTTCTTAACTTACTTGAGTGTCTCTGAAAGGAAGAAACTTTGCTGCACATCATCATGGCTTTCATGATTGCTATAAACATCTCTAATGCCAGAATAGCCACCGTCCACTCTGCAGTGTTTTTCCAGTGCCTGAAGCAGGGGAAGGAAAAACCAAAACAATGGTATTAATGAAATCAATCATCTGTCGGTTTTGATTTGTCTGATAATAAAACTAGCCAAAACCAATTGTCACAATTTTTTTTTATAAAGAGATGAAAAATAGATAAAGCTGCAGATAGAAAACTGTTTAAAAAAAGACATAGGCACAAGTGTCCAATTTTACATTTAGAAAGAGAAGTAAGATGATAAATGAATAAGAGAAATGAATGCAAACCAGAAGGAAAGATATATGGATTTTCACTTCTTTTCTTTTTCCTCCTTTTAGCAGGAGTACCAACAGCCTCTCTCTCCCAAGCTTGTCTATCAGCCTTTGGAGCTCATGCTACATATACCTTTCTTGGTCAGATTTTAGTACTTAAAATGATTGTCAAAGAAAATGGAGAGTTGCCTTTCCTTTTTTGAAGGGACTTGCAGGAGGTAAGGAGAAGACTGGTCTTTAGCATGGTATTCAATTCTGTGCAAGTAATTTGGTTTCTCTTTGCAATCATTTGATTTTTCAATGGGGAACCACCAATACTTGGCTGTGACTGAATTTCTTTCCTGCAGTAGTTGTATTTTTCTTTGTTACCTTTCTGAAAAAGCTTTGTCCCTTACACAGGAGTAGATGCAAAGCTGGTATGAGGCAGGACTTAACGTGTTTTAGCTGTAACAATACCAATGTGTTTGTCTCTAATTAGTTTCCAAACTCTGTATTCAGTTAAAAGGTGTAAAACAGATGACTGATTCCTATTTCACAATAAAAAGGAGTACACAGGCCACCTAAAAATACAATTTCTTTTCTGCCCACAGGAATATCTGATATTTTGATGGAGCTTTATAACTTTGACGGAGAAAAAAGATCAGATGAAGAATGTGTAGAAAAGGGCAAAAAATATGTGCCCAGTGCTGGAACTGTAGAAGGTATTTATAGTTAGACTATTTGACAAACTTTGTTTCTTTTCTTTAGTTTAGACAGGTGTTTGCATTAGAAAGGTGGTACCCATTTGCCTGTGTATGAGCCATAACTTCTTTAAATACATTGCTATCCAATACCTTGAATATTAGTTCTCTCAACACTACTTAGTTTAAAAATATTAATTAATCTTCTTTTTTTTCTTTTTAACTGACCTATTCAGTAAGGCTGTGAGTATTCCTAGCCTCTTAATTTTTCTTATTCTGTTTTATAACTCCTCTCTGGTATCATGCAGTATAATAAACGAGTTAAGAAAATCTAAGACGATTATATTTAAAACAACTCATTATTAAAAAACAAATCCAGAAAATGCTTTTTAACCCTAAATAGCTTCTCATAATGAAAATGATAACGATGGTGGATTACTACATTCACTCAGGACCACACTACTCTGAAACATGATATTTGCTGTAGAGATGGTAGAGCAATAACTTTCAGGCAGAAATACCTGGAGCTTTATCCAACCTTCAACAGAGAGACAGAAGTCAACTAGTTTTTCAGTTTCTGAAGTTACTACAAATATCACTGAAGTGAGTACAGGATTTTATTTAGGCAAAAACGCTGCATTTCAAACCACACTTGGCAAAAAGCTATGAAAAGACAGAAGATATGTCTAAACCAAGCAAAGAGACAGAAAAAGCATTTTCTGATGAGAGACGGGACTAAAAGTCACTAATAACTACTGAAGTATCCATCACCTTCATCTGCTCTAAAGACTGTCTAAAATCTGTGTTTTGCTGGGAGTAGATATCCTAAATGTCCTTGGTTTTGCTGGAGTCCCTGTAGCTGTCTGCACAGATTTAGCTTGCATGTCAGGCTCTCCACAGTTTTCACTGGAGACTAAGTTGCCTCTTGTATATTTAAAAGGAATTTTTCTCCAGCAGAGATCCTTTAAAATATAACAGACCTATTTGTCTTTTCTTATGTGTCTTTAGGTTCTTTCATTTTCCTGGACACTTTTACTAAGTGACAAATATACTTAAGTTTAAACAAGTAATTTCCCCTGGCTGGTACTCCTTCCCTCTTGTCTACTTCAACCTGCAGTGAATTCAAAATGCTGAATCTGTGTCTGGATTTTCAATGTCAAACACAAACTGTGTTTGCCAAGGTACAGCAGAAGGAGAACTTAAGCACTAAGGCTTTAAGCAAGGAAATACCTACATTCTAAATGGGGCAAGGTAAAATACCAACATATTGCATTGCTGTTTATGTTCTCTATCATGTAGTTAGAGCCTTCTTTAGGAGTTCACTGTAGGGAGACACCATAAAGGTACCTGAACACACTGCTGTGATGTAAACTGAGGGATAATTTGCACCATGTTAGCTACCTGCTGGTATCTACTTGATACAAAAATGAAGCATCTTATCCCTCAAAGCTACTTTCCACATGACTAAAGGAACAGTACATTCACCTGCAGCACTAGTAGGATAAAAAGGCTCTTGGTTGTCACCCTCCTTAACTGGCAGCAATGACCTTTTGTGCCCTTACCTGCAGTTTCAGAGTACAGTGGTGCTCACAGGGACAGGGGCAGTGGTGGGTGGGAAGAAACAATCAAACACCTTTTAAATTAGCAGTTCTCAGAAAATTGAGGGTGGATGAGATCAGTTATGCTGGAGTAATGGAAAACATCAAGCATGGGGAAAAGTGGCTGACAGTCTCAAACTGCCATAAAGGGGAGAAAACAAAGGAAGTGCTACGAATTTAAAATATGTGCCACATTCATAATGCAGAAAGGGAGGCTTTCATGAGCTAAGCTGATAAAACCTTACTGACTCAGTAACAGTGGATATTGCTGGTGGTCATAACTGCATTTTCTCCAGCTGCTGAAGCACATACAAAATGATCTTGGACTCAAAGCAGCAAAGCAAGTTCACAAAGAGAAAAGGGAGAGGCTATAGCATATTTTTAGTCTATAAAAGTTAGAGAAACAATTAATAGAGTTGTCAGGGAGTTTAGAAGTCATGTCTCTAGAGCAGCCTCCTTTTCTACTACAAGGGCACTGGGAAACAGACCTAATGAGTTCTTATTCCCAGAGTCATGAGTTGAAAATGTACATGGAACACCTGAAGAACAACTTTTTTTTGGGTAAAAACCAAATGATCTGATTGCTCCCAGAGTCTTTTTTCTTGTTTCACTCTCAGGTTCCACTTTGTGCAACAAGTTCTGGAAATTAAACCTACCACCTTCAGTGGTTGGGGACTTCCCCAAGGACAGAAAGGGTGCAGTGACAGGCTCTCTTGGGTAAAAATAAGGAGCAAGAGGGAGCAGAATTTATGAAATAATTATAGTAAACTATCACGACATGTGCTTGAACAAAAACATCAGTATCAGGTGGAGCTGCAGGGCTATAAACATCAAGGGGGAAGAGGAAAAGATAAAAATATTTAAAACCTACAACTGACTGTATAATTTCTGTGAAGCTGCAAGATTTGTTTTTGGCAAACACACAACTGCAGATCAGGACAGTGGAAGATGGGCCTGTGCAGAATGGGACCATCTGGGTCTCCCACACATGGGCTGCAATCCACTACATTAAAGCCAGACGAGAGTAACCACAAGAATGTTAAACAAGGAACACATGGGGAGTGCTAAGAAGGTAAACAAGTGTACAAACTTGAAAGAAACACAAACAAACCGAACCAACAGGGTAAAGAATAATAATAAGGAAAACATTTTAATTGTTTATAGCAATGTTATCAGTGTGGGCAGCAACAATGAGTCAGGAAAAACATCTCCTGGAGAAGGAACAGTTGGCATTGCTGAAGCCTGGTGAGATGACTTTCATAAACAGCCATTGTAAATATGCCAATTATAATCTGCCTGGGAAGATTCCAGTAGTAAAATGTGTGCCTATGGGTGGTGTTAGCAAAGAAGAAAGTAAGGAAACAGCACTCTAAATTAGAGGTTTTAAAAAAACAATTGCTCTGCAATCATTAACTGAGAAGCATATTGTTTCAGGACCACAGTGCCAACACCTGAGGGAGGCAAATATAATGCCTAAATAACTACTGTCTACCTAGCTGAATAGAGTGCTCACAGTGCTCGACATCATTTGTGGTACATTGAGTATCTCACACAGTGAATACTGAATACATTTACAGAGCTTGGTTGCTGCTGAGGGCATCAGGTACAGAATCATAGCCCAGTAACAGCTCCCTAGCAGGGTCCTTCAGGGATGAGAAACTGTAGGACACAAGTCTACATGTTCTACCCTTAGTATTGAACAAAAAGCAGTGTAGGTCCCTCCAGGAAAGTTGCAATCATAGGCTCCTAGAAGCAAGAGATGTTGGGTAACCTGACAGGACATTTTTTAAACCCTGGAAAGCAGTAACTGCACAAGAGAGGCTGCTGTGAACAAAATACTGCACAGAGTTTCGTTTTCTTCCCCTATCCCTTGAGCCCCTCCTTTTTCTTAAGTATACAGAACCACAAAAATAGTGTTCTTCAGCTTTCTCTATTTCCCACCAGATCTCAGATAATTTAGCAAGGGCCACATCATCAGGGTGAGAAGAAAGTGAACTCTAGAAGTGTAATAAGGACCCATACCTGGAGGATGAAACATGATAAATCCAAAGGCTTTCATCCCTAACAGTAAGAGTGATTAATCACTGAAATAAGGGAAACAATGGATTTGGCAAGCCAATTTTTGCAGTACAGACTAGCTGCCCTCTTGGAAGGATTATGCTGGACAAACACAAATAGGTAGGTTCAGCATGACTGGTTGAAGCTCAAAAGCTATTGGGCAGGGGAATTTAAGTCTAGAAGAGATTGCTGTTGTTTATGGAGTTTTGTCCAGGTGACCTATGCTGTTTGAAAGTGACACGTTATTTAAATGTTTGGTACTACCTAATACTTCATCCTGGCCCTCATCACCTTGATTAAAAGTATTTAAGGCAGAGAAATCACAAGGCATTTTTTCTATTATACAGTACCAGCAGTATTTGGTTTTGTCAAAATTTAGTCCATCTATTCAGTAAATGATTCTCTGGAAATCTGAATTGATATTACTGATTTAAAATAAATATTTACTCTCCAACTGCTAAACAATATCCAGATATCATTCAATAGCTCACTTAAGATATTAGGATTTAACAAGAAAGAAGTCCAATAGAACATTACCTCAACAGCTTCCCAGCCCCACTGCCTGTACTTTGGATCATGAGTGAGTCTCCACATGTACATGTAGGTCTCTATGACTTCTGGTCGTAGGATGTAGTATTTTTCATTTTGTCTTGTAGCAATGGCCTCAACACCACCATCAAATCTGAAGGCTTCTGGTCCCAGTTTCATGCCTAGCCAATATAAAAACACAAGTTAAAATAAAGGCATTAGAAAAAGTTTCCAATTATGTAACCTCCCAAATCAAGTAGTCTTTCAATGGCTGAAAACCAGCACAACTTAAAAGGTATATAATTCATGAAAGATATCACAGCCCCTTCTGTTTTTAGTATTTTGTAAACAATTCACAGTAGGAGAGAGTTGTTCTTCCCCAATGCCTTAAACAGCAGTTACAGTTTGAACAGTGATGCTAACATTTGCATTCTGGAAGGCTTCATGTAACCAGCAACATGTGAAATTTTGCTTATAAGATGAGGATATTTACTTTTCTATATCAAACTGGAAAATACACTCTGGGACCTGAAATGCTGCCAGGATTATTTCTATAAGAAGATGAAAGAAATTTCCTGCAAAAAAATCCACTTTCTTTGTGCAATTCTACTGTTTGCAGCATTGTACCAACAGAACTGAATGTAACTTTTTTGTGCATAAAATATGATAAATAGCTATACTGATGCACAAATGAACAGAGTCTTCCTCTTATTTGTATTCAGCCACACAGAAATTGGCATAGTGAAAAAAAGCTGTTATGTTAATTACTACAGTGAGGAGATACAATTTGGGTATACAGAAATTATTTACAAAACAGAACAGCCATTTTTAAAGTTACTCTTAAAGCAAAGCAGTGTTTGCTCAGAAAGGACAAACAGTTCTCACTGTGCTACAGTTTTCATTGAGCATTATGCAAAAATCCCAACTGCTGCCTTCACAAAGTCAAGCTGGGAAGGTAAACTCTGCAGAACAGTACTCACCTGTGCGATCATAGGATTCGTGGCAGGTCCTAGCAATTTCAGCACCAAGCTCGATGTGATGGCCTGTCTTGTCACTGGGTGCTCCATCTGCTCCCAGGGCAAACATGCCCCCAGCAAAGCAAGTGAGATGTCCCATCTTGTGCTCAAGCAATCCACCCTTCCACTCAGCGATGTACATCAGCCCCCCACTGGATTTTCGAATGAGGTGGGTCTCTATGGCCTGCAAAAGCACATGATTTCAAAGCCAAGGTACCATTTGGTAAAGTGTGAAGGACAAAGTTGTTTGGTATGTTGGTTGGTTTTGTTCCGTATTGTCTTTGCTTATAAAATGAACTGGATAAAATGAGCACAGCCTCAAAGAGCAGCCAAACCAATGCAGATTAGCATACATCAGTAATGATGACTCATTTTGCTACAACTTTGAGCAATTTACATGGCACATTTTATTAAAATATTGGAAAGACCTACAAAATGCAATTCAATTTTCAGATTATTTTATTTCTTTCTCTTCCCACTTTGAGCAGTTTCAGGTAATTTTGCTTTTAATAGTGATTAGCCATCACTTCAGCTTCTATATTTCCCATTTGAATTCTGACTTAAAGGATGTAGTTATTGATATAATTTCATGTAAATTATATGCAGACATAACTCATATTCAAAACACTTGACTCAGTGCATGCACTGAATGATATTAGGCCTCTAAGTCCAGATGGCATTCTCAAAGTCCAATGAGTTTCCCCTTCCAGACTGAAATCCTCTAGTTATCAATCAAGAGTAGAGTGTCACTGAGATTTCTGGGGAAAAAAAAATAACCCAAAGCAGAATAAAAATATAGAAATTTAGAGAGAATTAGAAGTTGCTGCTGTTAGCAATGTATGGTCACTGATCGCAAAATCCAGGAAAGTAACCTTCCCTTGTGGGAGGAACAGAGTTAAAACAACAGAGGAGATGCAGAAGAGCCCATTAATTAGAAGCCCACACAGAAAGTAAGCTATTGCTCTTTAAAGGGTGGCACAGGAGACAAACACTGCTGTGCACAGCACTGCTCTGGTTGTTCTACTGAAATCATGACATCCAGAAACAGTACTCAACGTGTATCATACAAGAGAAGAAAACATTAATAAAGTATCAGTGAAACTATTAACAAAAAAGGCAGGATTGTAAAAAAAGTGTTAGAAAGTAGTGACTGTAGTTACTTCTTCCCATTTAAACATTTGTAAAGCATGAAAAATCTTCTCTAAGCTAGAAGCATCAGCAGAATAGTTGTACGATTTTTATGTACTGAGTAGTTTTTTGTGCCAAGAATGTCACATTGAAAGCTACACTTTCTTTTACACTGATATTAGTGCAAAGCACTTAGTAAGGATATTTTCTGCCCAGATCCAGAGCCACTATTACCTGAGAAAACTCCTCCATCCCTTTATTTCCCTCTTGATTGTATGTTTTTGGCACTAGGGACCTACTGGAAAGCATACCTAAATTTTAAAGCAGCAGTAAATAATGAACATTCCTGTCCTTTAAACAAATCCTGCATAATTTAATCTATAAAAAGAAGAATTAGATATTAAAGGGAAGAGGTGAGAAAAGACACAACAATTGTGGGAAATAGCTTTCTGACTACTCAGTCATTCTGAAAAACAAGCTACCTAAAACCAAGTTCAGAAAGGAAAAACTTTAATGACTTAAACCTTTCAGCATAGTATCTCCCATCTCACCAAATCAACAACTGGCAAACAGGTGATAACTCTACTGGGCACTTAGCTGTTGGGTCACAGTGTATTTTAAAAATGAACAAGTATACAAATAGATTGATGACTAAATTTACCTACATTGCATTTTTTAGAAAATAATTACTGAAAGACAGAATGAAGTATTACTGTACTTGACAGAAATACAGGCAATGATGCACTTTTGAACTATAGTAACTAGACCAGAGTTGATTCTTGCAGTATGAAAATTGATTTTGTGATACCAATTAGTCTTTGCGAGTTTTTTCCACTCCTCTGGCTCAAGATTAAAGTTCAGGCTGAGAAATGATTACTTCCACTTGGGAAATTTTGAAATTATTCTAACAAACTGGTGTTAAGAAACTAAGAAACGGATGCTGATTGATGCCAAGAATGTCACAAAATAAAAATATATTTCCAATTTAAGCATTCAGGTTTGGTAAATCAAATCATCTCAGTTTTATAAATGGGTCCTATTAAGAATTAGTACATATGTCTATTAAAAGTTATTTTTATTATGTAAGCATCTTATTTAAGCTATTTTAATTAGGCATTTATTTGATATATTACAGACTCTCAGATTGCCTTGTCATACACTTTGTACCATCATGGGTTCCTGAGTGCTGGATAATACCTGTACCAATGTCTGTGCCTTTACTAATGCCATCTTAGGTCACTAACCATTTCTAGCTAGACAGGAAATCTGAAGTTTATCAGTAGGATGGAAAGGTAGGGTCACAATCCCATGGGGTAGTGCTACTTGCTATCTGCAGTGCTGAGGGTACAGTTCTGGCAGGGAAATCAAGTGAGTAAAAAAAGTTATTATAAAAGAAGAATAGGTAGTATTCTTCTTTCTCTTTGTCACCTATAGGTGACAAAGATCCACCCAAGTGAAAAGCTCTGGTGGTATAACTACTTTTGAATTTCATACTTAAAATCAATTTACTTGTATTTTGATACAATTATGTACTCACTTAAAGGGACACATTTATTTGAATTGCAGCTCTATTACAACATGCTCCCCACCTGTCTGTAGATCAGGTGGAAGGATGGAGCACCTCTTCTATGAGGAAAGGCTGAGAGAATTGGGTTTGCTCAGCCTGGAGGAGAGAGAGAAGGCTTTGGGGTCACCTAATTGCAACCTTCCAGTACCTGAAGGAGCCGATAAGAAAATGGAGAAAGACTTTTTACAAGAGCATGTAGTGACAGAATAAGGGGAAATGGATTCAAACTAAAAAAAGAGTAAGTTTAGATTAAATAAATACTTTCCTGTGAGGTTGGTGAGGCACTGGAACAGGCTGCCCACGCAAGCGGTGGATGCTCCATCCCTGGAAGTGTTCAAAGCCAGGTTGGAGGGGGCTTTGAGCAACCTGGCCTAGTGGAAGCTGTCCCTGCCTATGGAGGTGTTGGAAGTAGATGATGTTTAAGGTCCCTTCCAACCCAAACCATGCTATGACTCTATGATTCTATGATATTTAGCACTACAGAGATCATTATTTCCTCTTACTGTAATGAGTGTTCTCAATATAAACCCATATACAGTATCTGAAAATAATCAAAAAAGCTAGAAGAATGCAGTCTTTGACTAGCTGAAAATACATTACTGATGGATAATTGTTTGGAGCTGGTGCATTTTTTCTTTTAAGTAAATGGAAATTAGATTTTATCCCAGAATGTATTTCTGCAATTCAAATCAGAATTTGTTTCTTTCCATCAAGGTAAGGTAGAGAGACTGTGCAATCTAAAAGGCTGGAAAGAGAAAAAGTGGCTATAAATATATGTTGCCAAAAGAAGCAATAGCAGATGCTACCTGGGAGTGACCAAAACAACAACAACAACCACCAAAAAATCCCAAACAAAAAAAAAAAAAAAAGAAGACAAACTGATATTAGTGGACAACAAAGGAAAGAAATGAAACTATAGGAAAAGAAGGTGATTCTTCCCCCCTACTCTGCTCTCATGAGACCCCACCCGGAATACTGCACACAGTTCTGGTGTCCTCAGCATAAGAAGGACATGGAACTGTTGGAGCCAGTCCAGAGGAGGCCACAAAGTTGGTAAGAGAACAGTTGATATCAGGACAGGCTAAGGAAATTGGGGCTGTTCAGCCTGGAGAAGAGAAGACTGTGGAGACCTCATAGCAACTTTTCAGTATCTGAAGGGCCTACAAGAGAGCCAGAGAGGGACTGTTTGTTATGAACTGCAGTGACAGGAAAAGGGGTAACAGGTTCAAACTGAAGGAGGGGAAGTTTAGGTTAGATATTAGAAAAAAGTTTTTTACTATAAACGTGGTGAGACACTGGCACAGGCTGCCCCAACCCTGGCAGTGTTCAGAGCCAGGCTGGATGAGGCCTTGAGTAACCTGGTCTAGTGAGGAGGTGTCCCTGCCCATGGCAGGGAGGGTTGGCACTGGATGATCTCTAAGATCCATTCCAACCCTTAAATTTTACGATTCTATGATTTTCCAGATATCTAAAGAAATACATTTATTACATGTAAAGCTGTTATGGCATACAGTTTGCCATGTACCCATAAACTCTTAGTCAGACTTTTACAGCTGATACAGTTCCTGGCAGTTTTGCTTTTTGAGCTTTTATGTAAGGCTCTGCTAACAGACCTCACTGCAGTAAAGCCTTTAGCTAAATTACTTTTTTATCCATCTTCTAAGAAATTATTCCTTCACTACAACAAATGTATAAATGCTTGAGCACTCAATTAGAAACACTCACAGTCTCTTGTACAGTTTGACTTGTGACTCAAGTGCTCCTACTGGCATCTTTCTCCTGAGTTTGCATGTTAAAATTATACCCTTGCCTATCTGTCATGGTAAATGAGATATTAGGAATTGTTTCAACTGCAGGACTGTAGATTGCATGTGTGTGTAATCTCTGCCACTGACAGCATAAAAGGCAAACTCTTCAGATTTTCCCAACCTGATTTCCTTCCCTTCCTGCCTTCTTTGTTGAGGCAGTATGTTTTGTGCTCTCTGCTTATCAGCCAGTTCCTCATACTGTCAGTTCTTACCCTTGTGAAATGAAGCACAACTGGACCCTCCTAAAAATACCCATTTTCCTTCATTCAGTTCTTCACTCTTTTAAGCTTTTCACACAGCTTAAATGGTGCCTTCACCACCCCCTTCCTCCATATTAGACTTGATTTTTTGATTGGGAAGTCCTTAGTTTACCCTTTGAGTTGCTTAGAAAATTGAACTGGATTGTTACTAAAGAAACACAGAAGATGCAGAACTGAAGCATCTCACTGTTCAAATGAGTTAAAAAAACCCAATCAAAGAGATTATTTTTAATAATGGATATTCTCTTGGTGGATTATGCTGACAGGTAATAAAAACACTAACAGAGATGCCTACAGAGGGTTCTCAGGAAAAATGTTCTGCCCCTCGAGGTGGCTCAATTCAAAAATAAACACATGCCACAAAAATGTTAACTCTGCCAAAGGAGAAGAGATAACAAATTACAAACCTCAAATTGCAATG